GCCAGTCGCCTCCTCGGCATGGGCAAAATCAAATACCAAGGAGAGTAGACTACGAGTCACTCCTAGAGCCAAAGGGCCAAAATACCGAACTAGCAAAGAACTTCTCCCCATATAAGACCTAGCCGCTTATTCGGCATGGGCAAAATCAAGGAGTCGACTGCGAGTCACTCCCAGAGCCTAAGGAATTGAACCGACGCTTATGAGCTCATCGAATTATTCATTTCAGGCCAAAAGGAGAAATCTACTCCCTTCGCCGAGTTACTTTTGGCTCGGGAGTGGGGGGCAAATGATGAGGGGGGATTTGGCCATTCAATGATATTGTGACACATGGCACCTCAGAAGAACTAGGTGACACCCGAAACCACTTTGGCAACAACTTGCCGTAGCCAAGTTGATGGTGTCCCACTTGGCAGCCTGGCGGCCTGGTACAGGCACGATCTAGCCTTGGCGCGAGCTGGCTGCCTGGCACATGTGCGACCTAGCCCTTGCGCGAGCTGGCAGCCTGGCACAGACGCAAGCTGGTAGCCTGGCATAAGCGCGACCTGGTGGCTTGGCCCAGGCGCGACCTGGCGGCCTACGAGACGTGCTCACCGACAAATTCGACATGCATATCCTAACACTCCCACTATCCTTGGAAGTTGGTCAACGTACCGAACGATCTGGAGGGTGGTTAACGTGCATGGCGGTTACCTCCAGGAATCTCCACCCACTTAGACGACCTCGCGGAAATCTCGGATACGGTGCGTGAAGCCCACGACAAACAATGCTTACATAAATCCACCAACCCCAATGACATGGGGGGCAAGTAAGCATATTCTAGCTCTCATACTTTATGATTTTTGGCTCGTAGTCTACTATGAGAGTACTGACTTAAGCATCAGAGCGACCTCGCCGGGTTAGCCACCCCGGGTCCTCTGACATTTGGTTCCTTGCAGGTCTCTAAAGAGCAAGGAAGCTCGTCAATCTAGCTCGTCACTAGGCAGCTCGGCACCATGCAACTCGCCACTATGTTACGGTCTGGCACAGGCTTAGCCTTGCCTATGCTTGGCAGGCTTACGTTAGGGACATCACCGTCATTTTCGCTTATAAGATTTTTGGGAGAGTTGATGTTATCTTCAGGCAGACCACCAAAATCTTAACGTACTCTTGGAGGAGGGGTGGTCGACCTCCTTGGGTACCTAACCTTGGCACTTCTAGGCCTTCATCCCTTGCGGGGCGGCCCTGGTTAATGGCTAGCATGGCTACCAAGGTTCTTCATGGGCGTACACATGCTCATGGGGACAGTGTTGGACCGGCACTGCGCTGTCGACACTCAAGGAAGACTTGGCATGCGGGCCTRGCTCAAGCATGGCTCTTCACCTCGCCAGCCCCTTGCCCAAGCTGAGTGAGCTACCCCGTTGCCTCTAGCGCACAGGTGTGTCTTGGCCCAAGCGGTTGCCTATCATCATGGCACACAGGTGTCTGCCATCATTTGCATACAGAAGACCCTTCACATCGGTGCCAAGTCACCTCTTCGGTGCATAGTCGCCTTGCATTATGGTTGTCCCCCTTTAGCACGTAAGCGACGCCTCCCATGGACCGGTCTGAGCCAGGAGAGTGCCCCAGCCATTGGACTTGAGGTCATGATCCAGTGCTACTAACTCCGGTGGAGTCATCTCATCGGGCAACTCCTAGCCTTTAAGCGCATCAAGGCTTGTCCTGTACGCCACACGGGTTTCTTCCGCTGTAGAACTACCCCCGTGACAGTTGGTATCAGAGCAAGTTGGCCAATTGCTGCCGCAGTTGGTTTTCAGCAGATTAGCCCAGAGCCAGTTGAAGCGGTCATTTCGACAAGCAGCATTTTGTGGGGTGCGGTCCCTAGGCACTTCCACCCAGGATCGAGCAGGTTTCAGATCAGGCCCGGCAAGAGGCCATTCATTGTTCTTGTCTCCATTCCAATGACCCTAAAACAGCTTCCCTTGCGGGGGCAGACGCATTGGTTGTCCTCATGCGGGGGCAGACGTGTGAGCCTTAGTAGGAATGTGCGTACACTGTCCGAGCAGATTGCTTATCAGGCCTGGTAAGAGGCCATTTCATTGTTCGTGTCCCCATTCCAATGACCCTAAAACAGCTTCCCTTACGGGGGCAGACGCATTGGTTGTTGTCCTCATGCAGGGGCAGACGCGTGAGCCTTGATAGGAATGTGGGTACACTAGCCGTTGGAGCATGGCGGTCCTACACCGACAAAGTATCAGGTGGACATGCTCAGTTTTCAGGTGGATCACTTGTAGCAGCAACAACTCATCACAAGGCGAGTGCATGCTCGGCAACATCATGGGTAAAAGTTGCCACACTCGCACAGAAAGCGGTCAGGTCTCCTTGAGGCAGCAGCAGTGAGGCCCCCTCGGAGTGAAGATGTAGCCCGAGTCGGCGAGGCGAAGCGTAGTTTCGAGGGCCAAGAGAGCATAAGCCATGGCTAGTTTCAGTAACCCGAATCGGCGAGGTGAAGTCTGCAGGCCAGCATGGTGAAAGGGTACCCAGGTCATCGCCAACATGAGGAGTAGACCTATCAGCGTGTTCGGTAGCATCACTGAAAAACTACCCAGAAGACGGTCGAGCCTTGAGGTAAGATGATACATGGGGCGRACCTCCGCGAAGAACCACACACATTTCTTCGAGGGCCCTTCTTTCACAATTCAATGGCATAGCCATTGCGCGGTTTGAGTAACCTCAACACTGGGGGGTGAAGTCCAGGCAGGCCGGCATGGTGAAATGGTTCCGTCTCCATAAATGGACACCAACATAAGCAAGACCCGGGCTATCCAGACGGGCCCTGGAACTGGCAAGGAAGTGGATGGCGCGGGACATAGATGCCCATTCACGAGGAAGACCATTGTCGAGGATGACAATGGATTGAGTGGGGGAGCCTGTTACGGTCTGACACAGGCTTAGCCTTGCCTACGCTTGGCAGGCTTACGTTAGGGACATCACCATCATTTTCACCTGTAAGATTTTTGGGAGAATTGATGTTATTTTCAAGCAGACCACCAAAAGCTTAACGTACTCTTGGAGGAGGGGTGGTCGACCTCCTTGGGTGCCTAACCTTGGCACTCCTAGACCTTCATCCCTTGTGGGGCGGCCCTGGTTAATGGCTAGCATGGCTACCCGGGTTCCTCATGGGTGCACACATGCTCATGGGGACAGTGTTGGACCGACACTGTGCTGCCGACACTCAAGGGAGGCTTGGCATGCGGACCTGGCTGAAGCATGGCCCTTCACCTCGCCAGCCCCTTGCCTAAGCTGAGTGAACTACCTCGTTGTCTCTAGCGCACGGGTGTGTTCCGGCCCAAGCGATTTCCTATCATCATGGCACACAGGTGCCTGTCATCATCGGCATATAGGAGACCCTTCACATCGGTGCCAAGTCACCTCTTCGGCGCACAGTCGCCTTGTATTATGGTTGTCCCCCTTTAGCACGTAAGCGGCACCTCCCATGGACCGGTCTGAGTCAGGAGAGTGCCTCGGCCATTGGACTTGAAGTCATGATCTAGTGCTACTGACTTTGGTGGAGCCATCTCATCGGGCAACTCCTAGCCTCTAAGCGCATCAAGGCTTGTCCTGGCCTACCTTGGCCTGGATGCCACACGGGTTTTTTCCACTGTAGAACTACCCCCGTGACAACTAGGCAACTCGCCACTAGGCAGTTCACCATCGGGGAGCTCACCAACAAGTAGTTTGCCACAAGGTAGTTCGCTACCAGGCAGTTCACCACCAGGGAGCTCACCACCAAGTTGTTCGCTACAAGGGAGCTCACCTCTAGGCAGCACATCAAGGTAGATCACCTCCAGGCAACTCATCAAGGTAGCTCATCACCAAACAGATCATCAAGGTAGCTCACCTCCAGCAACTTGCCACCAGGGAGCTCCACTTCAGCCTCTGAGTCACCGACCACATGGGAGCAGAGGAGACGACGAGGTACTTAGCCAAACAATTGACATATCACAAAAAAATTGATACATGACCATAAACAATTATAACAGTTACCATCCTCATTTTTATTATAAAAATTATAGAAATATATAATAGTTATAGAAAAATTAGGGTACAAGGGTTTAGGATGGARAATAATAAAATTATAAAATACTATATAATATTATAAAGTACAATTAAAATAACAATAATTAACGGGGCAATAATAGAAATAGATATATAATTAAAATAATAATGACTAAAGAGGGATAATATTGAAAATAAATAAACGGATTACTCAATAATAACTGATGGACAATAGTGAAAATAGAAAAATCAGTTATTTTGACATAACCATTCTCATTTTTATAAATGGGTACAGACAAATACAGATATTCTTTTTACCTTATACGTACATAACATTTGACGAGTGCTCTGAAGCCAAATCAGCATATACTTCTACCGAATCTATTTTTTTTATACCATCATTGAATGATGGTCGTGAATTTTGTCGATGATCACATATTGAGATTTGATAGAGTGACAGCACCGAACACTATCAAGGTATCAAGTTGAGCTAGATCGGGATCCGGTGGCCATTATTCATTAACAGCTGGAGTGGGGTTGACCGCATTATGTATGGAACGGAGACGGATCGCATATACGTAATTGTGAGATTTGAATGACAAACATTCCATGGAATGGAATGGCGATAAAATCAACAAAAAATCGTATGTTCACGGCGACATGGTCAAAGTTAATAATATATGTCATGTTCGTATATTTTTGGAGCTCCCAACTCGTACATGACACATCCGGGGATATCATAAGAAACGTGCATGCAAAATTAAGGCCGTTCATCATACTTTTCCTGGTCCCACTAACTATCCTCCGGCCGCTTCAATGCTGAATTATTGATGATGATGATGCGAGATCCACCAGGCACCAGCGATTGTTTGGATGTACACGTGAGATAGTTCACGTGAGAATGGAGGGAAGCTCAAACTGGGTGCATGAGCAGTGCCACGTTGCCGTTGTTTTCTAGAGCCAGACAGCTCCCACCCCACAAGAACCAGCGGTGTCTCACTCTTGGCTGTTCATAAATAATGCAGGAGTGACCATCGCGTTCTGTTTATTAGGGTTTCGATACCCATTCGATTTTGGTGGTAGGGAGGGCTTTCCCGTTAAATTATGGCTTGTTGGGGCTGATCTGACGGACGATTCCTTGTTTTCGGAGTTCAGATTTCCGTCACTTTACTTGAATGCTCGAATTGCGAGAGAGAATATTCAATGTCTATGGATTCTGACACGGTTATGATTCCCGTTAAATATTGAAGATGTCAGGGGCCATAGTCGTAGGACGATTTTCAGCATTTTAAGAGATCTGATCTGATTCGCTGGTTGAATCGCTGAGTGGCTACATCGGGAACTTATCTGGGAGAATTAGCTCTTAAGATAGATTTCTAAGAAATCGAAGAGTTTTGGAGGGAGGATCCATTCATTTTGTTGTAATCGAACCTGGTAGATCATCTGTATCCATCCATTGTTATTATTTTTTACTTTTTTTATTTTCTTTTTCCTTCTAGAGGACTCTTTCTTCTAGGTTTAGCGATTGCTTTACTAGATCGGTTGCTCATGTGGAGGATCTGCGATGTTTTCGTGCAGCTTTAGTGGTTGATGAACACAAAGTTCTGGCATTTTAAGCCAGTGTCATTTGGTTTAGATGTTATGCAACGCTAGCTTAAGGAATATAGTCTTTCAAGGTGGGCATATTCGGAGTTTTTCCAAGGAGAGAGTGAAATTGAAGAGGCATCTTTGGAGGGATTTGCATGCCAACCCGGGAATAACTTATCCTTCTAATCGCAAATTTAGGGGAATTGTAAAGATGATGGTGGATACAGGTGCACCTGCAGAACCAGGATCTGTTGTTGATGTTCTTCCGGAGAAAGAAAGCGTGGAAAACAGTGGCTATGCTAGTGGTGGATGGAGAAGGTACTTCTGATTTATTTTTCCTCCTTTGCTGTAATCTGCATTTTGTGTATTTTTGTGGCTGAGTTGCTTCTGATTCCTCCGTTTTTTTGGGTATTGTTGACATTGTTTCTCATTGTAATATTGTATTGTCATTGTCGTGGAGAATGCAGATGCTTGTAATTTTGGTTCTACTGGTTCTCTTTTCCAGATGCTCAACGGCGCATACTTCCTTCGATTGATGAACGTTGTGTTTGTGTCTCATGATTAAAATAACAATGTTGTCAAATCATTAAGTGTCCCATAAAAGGATACACATTATCATCATCATCATCTAAGCCTTGTCTCAACTATATGGGGTCGGCTACATGAATCATGTTTCGCCATTTCCTAATGGTCAGTGCAATATTCATGTTAAATTATGAGTCCTTAATCATTTCTTGCTACTTAAAAAATGTATGGTCTGCCCTTAGCTCTTCTTGTCCCTTCAACTCGTAGCGTTCTAACAGTCTTTAATAATTTGTAACCTGTTTTCCATGAAGTTAGCTAAATTTTGTTAAGGAAAAGTAGCTAACATTTTATCTGAAATTCCAATCCAGGTAGTGTGGAAAATTAGAAATCCTTATTGGAACTAATACATGGTTGATGACACTTACTGCGACATTTAAAACACATAATTTTGTTTTTGATCACTTAATCTCTAAGAAGACCAGCCTATTAATAAGCATTATGAGTGTTATACCTCACCTTGAGGCAACTCCCAAGGAAAATGTGATGCGGCTTATACCTGAAAGAGTGAAAGTAGAAGGCACAGTCCGTACAACTTGAGATGTCTCAATTTGTGTGTGTATAATAGAGAACTGGTCATAATTTAATTTATCTGAATTGTAGGAATGGTATAAATTGTGGGATTTATGAATCAAATCATAGGATTCAAATAAAAATTGTAAAATTTTTGCAGAAAAGGATTTGGACATAAGATTCAAATTGAAACCCTTGGGATTTGTGATTCAAATCCTGAATTTATCGTAAATCATAAGATTTTGACATGCCGTGTATATGAATTTTAATTATATTATATCATGCTATTGAATATGATGAACAACTTACATAAGGTTGGGTTTAGAAACAACAAAAGTGAAGACTTTGGAAGAGTCTAGGGGAAGAGACAAAAATACTCTTTTATTGAGAAGATCAAAAAGATCATAGTTCATTTAGAAAAGCAAATTGACATGCGTATCACCTAGTAATGGATATGCTCTCCAATAAGGCTTTTGAAAGTTCTTGAGTATCACCCAATGACTTGAAAGGCATGCCTAGGCACATAGGTGAGGCCCATTTTAGGGTATGTGCCTTAGGTCCTAGGCACAACACTTTCAAAAGACGCACGCCTAATGTGCCTCAGTCTCTGCCTAGGCGTGCGCCTTTTTAAACTTTTATGTTTTTTTTTTGAACCTAGCGGCTGGGAACCCCTATTTGCCAATGTTGTTCATTCATTCATTCATCATAATAAAATATATTCTTGAAAGGCAATTAAAATTATAAAATCATTATTTTTTTGTGCGAGAAGTAAGAATTTAAGACCTTAATGTGGACTTGTTTGGGCTTGCCTCGAGGGGCTTGCTATAAAGGCAGCTCATAGAATTAGGAATGCAATATGTTTTACATCACATTAGTTACTTGAAGTAATGCAATTGAAGAAAAAAGAGATTGTGGGTTTTACATGCTTGAAAATGTTTTATATGTTGATTTTATTTTTAAATTTTCATTTGAATACATTCATGTTATGTTTATGTATTTTAATTTTAGATAATAGGTTTTTTAAAACATTTATTTTAAAATTTAAGTCTATATTTTTAATAATATTATGTTTTTTTTATTCTTTTGCATTTTTTGATTTTTTGATTTTTTGGCATTTTTTGTATTTTTGCGCCTTGCTTCAAAAAGTTGTGCACCTCGGGTGCAAATTGCCCCTTGCGCTTTTAAAACACTAGTCTCACCTAGTATGCATCACATAGGATGTTGTCAATTGTCATAGGTTTTAGGTATTTACTTAAGTTAATAGTGAAGGTAGTTTTGCATGTCCTTAACTACCACAAACTCTAGCTATCTAATAGCATATTTTCAAAAACTGAGGTGGAATGTTATCAAAATATGTTGGGTTATTTAAATGTTTGGCAAGAAACCTAAGGTCCTCTTTAGATGCTTAATTAGTATTAGACATTCTTTAGCATATATGGATTTTCTGCAGGGAAATCTGAAGCCACTTTCCCCCTTAAGATAATTAGCATGCATCATGGAACAATCAATTTAGGTTGAAAGTATCAGTATGATTGGACACCACCAGCTAAGGTGTGTTTGAAGCTGAATTTGATGGTAGTAGTATGGGTAACCCAGGACCACCTGGAATTGAGGGAGTAATAAGGGGTGAAAATGGGGGCTTGCAATGTATTCAGGTCTAACTCTAATAGGGGAAGGAAATACCATCCTTGCAGAGCTATTGGCAGCAGTGTTTGGGGTGCAAAAGGCTAAGGAAATCATAGTTGATAGATTGGCTATTGAGGGTGATTCTAACAAGTAATTATCAGCTGGCTAATGAAGAACAGCAAAGCGAATTGGAACTACAGAAATGAAATCAGATGCCTTAACTGGTTCTCTAGAGATATGCAATTAAAAGTTAAATTACCAAAACCAGCCAACAACTTGGCTGATGGGCTAGCAAAACAAGGGGCTAGTAGGCGACGGTTGTTTTGGGCTCAATTGTAAAAAGGTTGTGTTGGGGTCAGATAGCAGGGGATGTTCTCTAAAAATCCTTTTGAAATGTAACGTTACAACCTCTTGTTGTAGTTAGTTTTTGATTAATTAATGAATCTTTTGCCTTTTGTTAATAATCCAAAAAAGTATCGATATGATACTTCCGATATAGAGCGTATTATATCTTTCAAGGTCACCGATATAATCTATCCTTATGGTTATGTTATTTTAATGTTTTTAAATGATAAAAGACATTGTATGACATAAATTGACAAATTGTTAGATCAAAGTAATAAAAATACAGAAGAGTTTCCATTGTTTGAAACTCTTGATACACAATTTTTTCATATCAAGAGCCTCAATACTTTGATCCTTGCAATCAACCAGAGGCAGTCCGGTCAAGTAGTTGCAGTACATATTGGCAGAAGCGGGGAGGGTTGGAACCATTGTTTGAGCTTGATAGTATCCTTGGCATATGGTCAAGTTGAGACTATTATTTGATTGGTTTGACCTTAAAGAGTGCCTATATGAGCAGGATACCTGGTCTTCTGCCCAATGACTCCTTACCGAACTGGATTTAGTATCATGCTGTTCCTCTTCTTCTTCTGGAAATGTACATCTTCAGTTGAGATTCAACTTTTAAATTCATAAAAGCATTTAGAAATATAATAAGAAATTCATAATAGTATAAGTTTGAATTCATTATTATTAATGGAGTTATTAATTGTTACTGATCAATATAATCCAAGTGCTTAAAATATTCAGGATTGAGGCTGAGTTAAGGAACATAATAATAAAAGATCCTGTCTGTAATTATAAAAAAAAAGATCCTGTCTGTAGGATGGGTAATGACTAAATGAATGGGGGCCTTGGAGCATGCCTCTTAAGATTTTTCATGCCCTGCCTTGAATATTAATACTGATAACTTGCACATTTTGTGTTAATTCATGATGTCAAACTGATTGTGATAGGCGTACCATTGCCCAAGGACTTTGCAGATCAGTTGAACCTAGAATTCCAATTGGGTGCTCTCTTCTCTTTCTCTCCTCTCTTTTCTCTTCTTTCCTTTCCTTTTCTTGGGTATGTTAATTTTCTGCTGGTATCTATGTAGCTGTCAGAGCCCAGGGGCATGGGAACATTTTTGAAAGGAAGTCCCTGCTTCGACAGGACAATGATCTAGACTATCTTGCTGGACTAGGTGACAGTACTTACATGCATTCATATGAAGCATATTCAAGCTATATTTATTTTTATTTCATGACTGGTGTTGGACAGTATTATCTTATGAAGCATGAATCTACTTTGACTCTTACTGAATAATTAAATTTTATCATTCCTACAATGTGCTTTCTCAAATGGAAGGTCAATACGTGGTTGGTCATTCATATTTTGATTGATATGACAGTGAAGATGGAAGGCTCAGCTATGGCTATTCAAGTTTTAGGGGGAAGAGAGCTAGCATGGAGGACTTTTATGATGTCAAAATGTCGAAGATTGATGGTCAAACAGTCTGTCTATTCGGGATATTTGATGGTTAGATATTCTCTTGCTATTAAATTCTGGTTAAATTAGTCTCAAGATTAATTTAATGGTATAGTAATTACATTTTGTACACAGAATAATGGGATACATGGTGCAGACATAAGGATTTTAGCTTGCTATGAGTATGCAATGAGTCTCATATAAACACTAGAAAATGTGTGTAAATTACTTAAAAGGAACAAAAAAAAAAGAACCAACCAATAACTAAACCAAGGAAAGACAATTGTTAGTAGATCAAAATCCTCCTGGTGTAACCCTGTATCCTGATATTCTGGGTAATGGTGGTTGCCTTCTCTCTTAAGTGTTAATGGTAATTACCTTTAATCATGCTAATACTATAAATTTTAACTTCAACCTACTAAAAGTAGGGTTTAAGATTGATTATGATATGTCATGACAGGTCATGGTGGTTCTCGTGCTGCTGAGTTTTTGAAGGAACACCTCTTTGAGAATCTCATGAAGCATCCACAGTTTATATCTGATACAAAATTGGCTATAAGTGCGTTCACAATTTTCCAATACCCATCTCTACTAGTTGCTTACTGCTGCTACAGGATTATACATCTGTTGAAAATCTGGCAATGAGAATGATTTTGTGCAGGGCCCAACACATTTGCCTTGGGATCATATACAGATTTGGAAATTAGATAAGGCAACTTAGAAAAAGTTGGAAAATGGAATTAGAGGAAAAAATCATGTTACTCGTCATACAAAAAAAGTGATGGAAACTAATTAATTGTGTACAAAGAAAGAGCCTAAAACTAATCATCTCAGCTAACAAGTCTGCTTCATTGCGTGTTTACTGATAATATATTGTCTGTTTATGCAGTGGGCTGTAATCCTTAGGGCCTAGCTTAAAACATGACATTATTAAAAAGATTCTTCTTCGAATTTCTAAAGGTTAATTACTTAATTCTTGAGAAGCTTCTAACAATCTGTCACATTATTAAAAAGATTCTTCTTTGAATTTCTAAAGGTTAATTACTTAATTCTTGAGAAGCTTCCAACAATCTGTCAGAGAACTTCTCTGAAATCTTGATACCAAGCAACATACATTTTGTAGTTATCTCTTTCCTTCATCCTAGAAAGGTTTGAAATTCTTCATAGTTTGCACAAGACTTAGTGCAGCATAGAACACTTTGTTCCATTGTCAAAGTTTATAAGCCATGGTCTAGGTGATGGCTTCAGTGCTATGAGGTGGTAAGAGTAGCTGTCAATGGCAGTCTTGCTCATATTTTCTTAACAAATTGATCAGGGAAGTTTTTGGGGCAGATGGTGTGGGCTACTGCACAAAACAGTTTTTAACCCATGAATATGCCTCCGTTCTCATTTTTATTTGGCGACACTGGGCAAACCTGCAGGTGAAACATATCAACAAACTGATAGGGACTTCCTGGAAGCTGAAAGCAATACTTTTAGGGATGATGGTTCTACAGCATCAACAGCGGTTATGGTTGGTAATCGTTTATATGTTGCAAATGTTGGAGATTCACGTACAATAATATCAAAAGCAGGAAAAGGTGCTCCTCACATCTTATTTTTTCATTCCACTAATGGTTTTGATAAAATTTACCTAGAACCTGCTAACAATATAGAATGTCTTTTGTCATTGAATCAATTACAAGATGGTTTTGATCAGAAATTTAAATGTCCGTTTAGTTCATACTATTGAAAAGATGACGTGGATGAGAAATATCGAAACAAAAATGTTATTTTGATAGGCTTTTGGAATTTCTTGAGGTATATCATTAGGTGTTATATTTCTTCCAAGAGTCACAACCTATAACAGTAGTAATAGTAATGGAATCATTTCATGACCTTAACTTTTTTGACAAAGTAAAATTTGTTTTGGTTTGACCATGATAATTAATGGGTCAAAAACTCAAAATCAACATAAGGTCCGTTCTTTGGTGGTTTGGTTCTTGCAATGATTTACAATTTCCTTTTAATCATGGTTCACAATTTCCCTGGAATATAGCAAAAATTTCCCTTTCCCAAGGGATGGACTAATAACTTCTCCTGTTAAAGAGCTGGTTTGTCGAGGAAAGGTATGATTGTTTGTAAGGTAGTGCCAGCAGCAGTGGTGTGGTCAATTTGGATGCAAAGAAACAGGAGGCTATTTGAAGTCAAGTTCAGTTCAGAAGAGGTAGTTTTAAAGGGCATATGGGTGGCGACTGGCGACACATAAGTTATTCAAGAATTGTCCTTATAGCTCTTTTTTTGAGCACTGTATTCTTTTTGTATGATTTTGGAACAGAGGTTTTTTGGGATGCACAAAGTTTTTCCTGCCTAGTCCAGTGCCTTACTGGGCAAGCTTTGCATACATTCTCAGCTTTCTTAATGAAATACTTTACCTTTTTTTTTCTCTCTCTAAAAAAAAACTAATAAATGTTATTTGAAAAAAGTTAAGTATTTCAGGAACATTTTCAATATTTATGTGCAAATATTCGAAGTTTTAACAAAAATTATTGGGGAGTATCACTGGTTTATTGAAGATTAAATGAAAACAAATTGGAGCATAGAAAATGAGTTAAATGAAAACAAATTGGAGCATGTCACAGATCTGCTGCACTTTTGCATAAAATAAAAAGGGTATTTGGAGATGTTGATTCTAAACCTTCCAATCAAATGACTCCACTAAGATACATGGCAAGTTATTGGTCTGACCTTTAACCCCCATAAAGAAGAATCAAATTTCAAGCCTAGACCTAATCTAGATTATAAAAAAAAAAAACTCACAATAGGATAGATTAGCAAGACATTTTTATGCATTATTTTACCTTCTATATCATTTGCATATTGATATTTATACTAGTCAAAATATATTCATGTAAGTTATAACATCTAAATATTGTTCTTGGTTGCCTTGTTAAAATGTTTAAGGATTACAAAGAAAAATTATTTTAAATTAAGATATGGTACAAAATAAGGTGTAGACATATTATCATAAGCTATTTTGCTTATAATTTTATTGAGCAGTGAAGGACTTTTATACACCTCACAGAAGTTTTTGTGGTAATCAAGGATATGAAAGGTAGCTATCACATACTAAACACATGGACCCCAAAATACACCAACATCACTTAGGCAGCTATGCAACAATGTGCCCCCTACCATYTAACCTTACCTTGGTCCCTTAAAAGTTAAAACTATGGGTAATTATTTTTTTTGAAATTCCAGAGCATGAGTTTCCCTTTAGATTTCTTAAACCTTCTTCACCATTTTTCCTTTTCTTTTTTTTAGGGGTGGGGAGGCTAAAAATTAAAGTTTCTCAAAAAGATAGCTTGGCCATCTTTTTTTATCAATTCTAAAGATCTACTGTGGTCATTAATACATTATCTACTCCTAGCTATTAGAAATGGGTAAAACAATACCAGTTTTGATGTAAATGTTAATGTTTAATTGTATAAGGTAGAGGAAGAGGTCTTGCTAGCCTACCGTTGTGAATTGATAGGAAATGTAGTAATGTACTCATAAAATGAAATTCATGGAGTGTGAGTTGGAGATGGATATAAACCAAGTGAGGAAATGTAGGAATAGATTGTAGTAGTTCATTGATTCACTCATCTAAGATGATTATACTTTTAGCAGATATATCTCCCTTGTCCTTTTGCTTTATCTAACTGATTATTGATGAATGATGATTGCTGTTATATGCTCTATTAAAAAAATATTATGTACACTATTAAGGAATATTAAATTTTGACTAAAATTAGTAATGATAGTTTTTATTTCTTGCTTGATAGCCATACCTTTATCTGAAGATCATAAACCTAATCGAAGTGATGAGAGGAAGAGAATTGAAAGTGCTGGAGGGGTTGTTATGTGGGCAGGTAAACTTCTGGCTTGGACTATTGAAACTTTACCTTTAGCTGAATTGAATGTGTTGAAGCTTGTACTTGCAATGTTACTGTGAAGACATGTACAGAACACCAATAGAAACTGAATCATGTGTGTGCTTACAGTAGTTATGTGATGACTTTTAGCTTGAGATTCTGTGCCTGAAACAACCATTTTTTGTATCTTTTCAGTGTGTGAATTCTGGATTCATTTTCTCCAGAGAAGAGACTCAAGTATGGATACTTGACAACAAAAAAAAATGTAATAAACCAAAATTCAAGTGTTGTCAAGCTTAAAATGTCACATTTGGATCCAGGAATTCATTGTTGCAGTCTGAGGAGAATAGTATTGGAAAGCTCATTATTTGCTTCATTGCTTATATAGAATAACCTCTGTTTCTTTCAGCCTAAATTGTTCCCAGAACAGCTGCTGGGAACCGTCTTCCAAACACATTTTTCTCTGCTTAGTAGCAGCACCCAAGAAGACAACAGATCATGCACTGAGGCAGGCATGGCCCAGTAAAGGCTTGATGGCTTGATGAAATGGCTCTACAGAGCTGCAGCCACTGCACAATGGATGCAGAGATGGTCAGTGGGTTCCTCTCCCTGTCCACACAGATCAAACATCTTGGGTCTTGAATCTGCAAACCCCTTCTCAGCAGGTGGTCTTAGTCAAACATTTTCCTAGAGCAGTCGCCCATAGCAAGAAGTTCAGCTTGAGGGGAGCACTTGACTTACAAATCTGCTTAACTGAGAACTCCCCAGTCCCCATTCTTGTTGCACTACCATCCCCACCCATCCAGATGTCCCTCCCTGACTGTTTTATCATTTTAAAACCTGCAGAAGTTTACAAACAAAGCCCAGATACTGATCAAAGAAATTCCTATTAAATATATGAACCTACACAATACTTCCAGCCTCATTCACTGCACAATCAGTCACAGAACAATTCTTTTTATCAGCCAGCTGAAAAGTTGAGGAAAAAGAATTTCAAGAGGCCTTTCCGAACACCAGGGATCTTTCCGAAAAGAAAGATTCAACCATCACCTACCTTGTAGCAGATTCCTTCTAAAAACTTGTTATAAAATTTCATGATACCTTTCCACAAAGAAAAGCCATAAAATGAAGTACKTTCAGATGTGCCCACTCGCCCCTTCTTAGGCTTTTTTTTTTTTTGCTGCAATTAAGCCCCTCCACTATCCTTCTTACTCCACCCCAAATCTCCACAACCATTTACCCAGCCGAGCCAAGTTGAAGTTCTTGATTCTTCTTATGCTCAAGCCTCCTTTCCCCATTGGGGCACAAACTTGTTCCCAACTGGCTAAATGAATTTTCTTCTCTCATCCTTTCCACAAGAACTCTCTTTGATATTCAAGGGTCATTTACTAAAACACTCCTTGTAGTTTCATGGAATTACTAAAACCTACCTTATAGTTTGAGTTTTACTAAAACACCCCCTATAGTTTGCAACCAATTTACTAAATCGACCTTCCATTAGATGGAAGTGGAAAATTAGAGTTTTGACCTTAACATTCCTTCAAACAAATTTAATCTACAGAAAACAAAAATGAAAATGTCATTCTTGTCCCTAGTAAAATGTGGGCAACACTATTCGGTAAAATTTGTTGTCTGTTTCAAGAAGACACATTGCTGACAAAGAATCCTGGATGCCATTATTCTCTCTTCTTCATTCTGCTGAAGCCAAACATTCTTTGATAGATCTGGAAATCAAACCTTGTTTCTTTCTAGAAGTTTGGTATGCAATTTTAGGGGTACTTTTGGAATAAAAAAGCATGGCCCATGCCCTTAAAACATTTTTTGCTCTGTTTTTATGGTAAGGGCATCCCTTACCATATTTAGACAGAAATACAAAGGATTCTTAACAGAAGGTTGATTAGGTAAATTGGTTGCAAACTATAGGGACTGTTTTGTAAAACGTAAACCATAGGGTCGGTTTTAGTAAATTTGTAAAACTCGTGGGGTGTTTCAGTAAACAATCCTATATTCAATTTCTTTGCCACCTTCACAGGAATAGGGAACAAGGAAAAGTAATAGGTTGGGAGGCTAGAAAGAGTGCTTTTTATGAGAGTGGTCCCCCCACACCAATAATGATAACAGCTGATATTATTAAAATATGTCCATGGAATGTAAGTTATAATAATTGATTGTGTAATTTTTTTAAACATTGGAACAAATGGTGGATCTCCTTGCTTCACACATTGCAGATGTCTATTCTCTAGGCCATTGATTTTTGTGTTTCTTCTAAAGGATGGTTGAACTCTGTTCTTTTTTGTTTCCTTTGACATTATGATGCTGAGAGTTAGGTTAATTGTGATTTTGATGTTGTAATGTTATCATCCTCTCACCAAAGGATAAAGGAGAAGAAACAGAGAAGAAGCTTTCATGATTGCACCATCTCTGATTGAATGAAGTGTGGGATAGGGGATTATTTGTTTCATCGATTCCAAAAAAGGCAGAAAAGTCCACCAGAAATCTTAGGATAGGTTTCTATGAATATCTAAAGGAAACTAAGGTCTGTTAGTTAGATATAACTCATAATATGGGGTTTCAAGTCCTAAAGTTCTCCAAGGAGTATTCTATTATTCCTCTTACATTGAAAGGATTAACTTAGGCATTTTGTTTAAAACTTAAATTGATATATTTCTGTTGTGGCTTTTCAGGAACTTGGAGAGTGGGAGGCGTTTTGGCAATGTCCCGTGCTTTTGGCAACCGTTTACTAAAGCAATTTGTAGTGGCAGAACCTGAGATTCAGGTATTTTGGTGGTCCTTGACCCTTGAATAGATCTTGGTATTTCTTTCTGTTTGGAGAAACTGCTTTATTTGGTTTCCATGTCCCATTTATGTAATTATCCAATGGCTCCCAAAAGAGAAGAATTGATATATATATATATCAAAGAATACTAGGAAAATGCAATTAGATGGTGCCAAGGTGTGGGGAGCAGCCTTTGGCACTTTTTTTAAATGAGATTAGAGAGTTCTTTGGTGGACTGATAGTTGATTGGTTGAGGTAAGATGAATGCTTGTTTAGCTTGGCTCTCAGGGTGATGAGTGTTTATGCATTAGTGTGTCCCTTTTACTTGAGGTGGTGAATGTTTTTTATTCAGCAGTGTATACCATCTCATGTACTCTCAGCTTTTGAGGTAGTACTACAATTCATTAGCTTTTTCCCCCTAAAAGGAATTCTCTTATAGGCAATCCAAAAAAAGGAAATGAGTTCTCTTACAGGGCAATGATGGGCCAGGACATGGACAAATGATATCATCTCTTTCATGTTTGCCTTTGAAAGGGATATGGGGGAAGGTTGCCTCTTCTTTTTATTAGAGCATTAAAAATATAAAAATTAGTGGTGAATAGAAAATCAAATTTCAAAGAGATTATTGATGCAGAAGATTCATGGAGATTTCTCCAGTCCTATTTGGTGCTTTTTAAGATTGTTGGTACTGCAGAACTATGAAGTAAAAACCAAGTAGTCATTTGGAAGTTGGTTTAAATCTGAATCAGTGGTATGTTGATGAAAAGGCTGCTATTATAAGAAAATTGTATGAGGACCATCCTGTAGTAAACCGAGTTGTCTCTAGTTGATATATAGTATATCTTATTGATAGTCTATAGTTAATTCATTTGTCAAGCTGTGAAGGTGGATTTTGGATGTCATCTGAGTTTGAATCCAACAATTTTGGATGTCATCTGAATTTGATTGGCCTAATCAGGTGGATTTGCTCTTTTTTTTGTGGTGAAAGAAATAGATTTCATTAAGAAGAAAAAGCAAACATAGCAGCCTCTTAGCAGAGAAAACAAAAACGATTTCATTAAGGATTATAAAAAGGAGATTTCAATATCAGAGAAAACAAACACTGATAAAAAAATATATCAGAGAAAACAAACTAAGAAGACTGCAAAAGCAATCAAAATACATCAAATCATGGTTTTTCAATCCAAACACCAGTCTTGATACTTTTGTTTTGAGAAAACAATTTAGCAAAGTCCTGGCATTCAGTTCAACAAATGGCAAGGGAGTTGGGACTTTAGGAAATAGAAGATGACTGATGGTAGTTGGTGGCAGACAAACAACAATTGGTGGCACAAATTCAAACTTGAGATGATTCACGGCTTCACTTGTGAACTTGAGATGGGAGATGGCAAACAACGACATGGCAGTTGGTGGTAGATGCTAAAACGGTGAGATGGTGAGACCTTCATGTCGGCAGTAGGTGGTGGCAAATGCAGAGATGTTGAGAGTGGTAAAGCCCTTGAACCTTCATGGTAATAGCGGTAAAGACTGAGTTGCAAGAGGGGAAGGGGCTTTGCACGCGGGTTTGGGACAATGTTTCAAAATGAGGCGTGACGTGAGGCGTAGTTCAGAATGCAAGAGGCATAAGCCTCCTTAAGAAGGGGGGGGGGTGTTAGGAGGAGGATGAAGAGGAAGGGGGGATCCCATTTTTTCTTTATTTTTAATAAAAGTCAAGCCCCCCAGCTAAAGAGGCAGGGGGGCAAACCACTTTCTTTCTCCTTATCTTTTCTTCCCTTCCTTTTCCTTTTCTTTTATTTCCTTTTCTCTTTTTTTTTTCTTCTCTTTCTTTTTCTTTCCCTTTCCTTTCTTTTCTTTTCTTTTCCTTTTCCTTTTCCTTTTGCGTTTCTTTTTTCTTTTTGTCTTTTTATATGAGATGTGCACGAGGCGTACACCTCTAGCACGCCTCATGAAAAAAGTGCATAAGGCGTACGCTTCATAGGTGTCAGCACCTCAGGGCGTTTTGTGAGCAGTGCGCCCCCAGGTGTACGCCTCCCACACCTTTTAAAACACTGGTTTGGGATAAGGAGCATCTCATATTTAATTTATACTAGTAACTAGGTTGCATGAAGTTAGGGTTAGGGATTGGTTAAGGGTTAATGATGTGATGTCTCAATTGTTGGGGAATGGGAAAAGACTGTTAATTATCCATATAGCCTTTAACTTTCAATAGTATGGAACATTAAAGAGAATGTAAAATTATATTATGTTATTTTAGTAAATGATTGTAAATATATAATATACTTTAATAATGTTATATTTATATATGATCTAATAAATTAGTAATATTGTATATAATTATGGAATTGGATTTTTATTGGATCAGGCTGGGGTACTTCCGAATCTTTTTTTTTGTTAAGTTGCTAAAAGACAGAAGACTCTACACCACCAGTGAGAAGAAGTGATTTGTTACAAGTTGAAGAGTCTAGATAAAGCTAGGAGCAGACCACAAAGGGAGCATGGATTGAAGTAGTAATAAATGATTTAACGGTCCATAAATTGACAATGGATATGGCACTGAACAGTGTAATGGCAGTGCAAGATTCATGTAGGAGCCAGACCATAAAGGGCATGGGTTGAAGTAGTTAAGACCAGGCTTAGTTAAGTTGAGGCTCTGCTTCAGTAAGAAAATATTCAATTATGTTCGTCTGACTATCCTTTTATGGCAAAAAAAAATGTTTTTTTATCCATTTCACATCGAAGTGTCATTAGGCTCTGTTTGGAAAGAGTACAAATACATATAAAATAATACAAAATACAAGGTTTTGCATTCTACATATTTGTATTTGTACTCCTTCCAAACTGAGCCATTGGTAAAATTTGCATGGAATTAGACTTTTCTAAAGTTTTTTTAATAAACTAGATGTGCCTTTATTTGACACGAGTTAAAAATGACTTGCCAGAAGTTTAAAAGATTTCCCCCTTCATAGTTACAAAGCAAGCAATTGTCTGAATGACTGAATCATCGGAAGAATTAGATTGGTCTGTATATAACTGTTCCAAGAGTTGCGTAATCATAGTTTCAGGGTTCATGAGATAACCTGCATAAATGTTTATGCTGATGGTTACAAATTATGAAGACTTAAACAAGTTCAGCCATTTTGACCGTTTTATGTGCATGAATATTGATGAGGTCCTTGCCAGTTAACCATAGCTGTTTATGTGAAACATTTATAAATGTGAACCTCATGTCAAATGATTGTGCGTTTTACAGGAAGAAGAGTTGGATAATGAAATCGAATTATTGGTTCTGGCTACTGATGGGCTTTGGGATGTAGTCCCAAATGAGGTCAGTTTCAATCCCTTTAATGTCGAAAATAATCTCCAAAACAACCTAATCCTTTTTCTTATGGGAGACTCAAATTTGAGCTCTTCACAATTTCTTGCTTTTCTTTATTGACATACAGTGCAAATTCAGATGTGAAAATCCTTTTTATTTGTGTTGTATTTGCCACCGTAATTTTCTAAACGAACAAGCAAGACTTGGGCCTGGTTTTGTGTTGTTACTCTCAGGACGCTGTTAACATTGCGAGAACGGAAGAAGAACCCGAGGCAGCAGCCCGAAAGTTGACAGAGACTGCTTTTACTCGTGGGAGTGCCGACAACATTACTTGCATTGTGGTGAGATTCCACCACGAAAAAACAGAATGCAGTTCGTCGTTGAGAGGGGATTAGAAACAAAATGTTCGATGTTCAGAAATATTAAATGTTTGAAAATTATAGGTGGGAATCTGCCTGTGCATAGTCCGAATCAGCATATTAAAGCCCAAGCTCATCTTATTTTATATTTCCGGTTTCCTATTGTGTTGCTTTTCCTTTATTTTTTCCCCGGGTGTTATGATGGCAGTAGGGACTGGCAATCTATCTGGCTTTGTCTATAAAATATTGTTGTGTACTTCTCTTTCTGATATCATTTGGTTATTCTAATCTGGTTGGTGGATGGTGTATCGTGCACCTGCATTCACTATTAGGCWTTTAATTTTTCGTGCTTATTTTTTGACGGGTGTCATTTCTCTATTAGGGATTCGATAATGACAACAGGTCTTATTGGCAGAAGCAGAAACCCGCGATGGGTTGAACTTGAATGCCATCTTTAAAAATAGCTTTGGTTGGGAACGAATAGGCCAATACTTCCGCGATCCATTCGTCTGGCTTTGATGGCAGCCCACTTTCAAATGCCAGTTGCTCAAATTCGGATTCCTACAATGAGCACATCCCTCGTTCCAGACAGGAGGAAAATTGAACTAATCTTTAGGCGATTTGAGGATCAGGGCAAACCACCTTATTCCCAATGGTGATGTTTGGTTCACCATTTGATGAACGAATTTTGACTTTTGAGCCAAGACTATCCTTTTGAAGCTACATTTTTTTCTTTTAGCTCCAAAGGATCACCGTTCGTTTTCAGGACAAAATTCATCAATCGGCTTTGACAATCTCACGCTTAACTTTTTCTTTGGGCCTTTTATATACAATCCAAATTATAACGACAGAAAAGACGGTCGTTACCAGGAATGGGCCTTTGTGCATTTGCTGCCACAGTCAAATCTAGGTGACTAGGTGACGCTAAGCATGTTCAAGGTAAATATGTGTAATCTCCGACTTAAAACTGGCATAATAAAAAATTCACTGGAAGTCTACCAGTAGTAATGACCATGTTTCCCATCGACCAGCTAGTGTACACTTGAAAACAAATACACAACCTGCTCAAAATGTTCAAATTCGTACTCATCCACATCGGAGGCTAAATTTTATTCTCTTTACACCAAACATCTTTTGATTAATGGGCCAGTTCTTTGTTTTTACAACACAATCCTATCGTGTAATTTCAGAAGAAAAAAGCACCTCACCTCAGTTAGATTTCTCTTCTTTATCAGATTGGGAACGTGGGCCAGGGGCAGAATCAACGAAGAACTCGTCGACTGAAATCAAGGTCGAGCTATTAGTGATGAAAACCATTTTAACATACATTGAAAAGACTACTATATAGTTTGAATTGAAACTTGAAAATGGGAAAAAAGAAAAGAGTATCATACTTTTTTTTTAATAACGGAAGATAGACTACACAACACGGGGGATAGCTCTCCCCCAATAATCACACAAACAAAAAGAAAAGAAGGAACTATCTACAACCCCATTAGACCCCAACCCATGGCCTGCAATAGCCAACCAATTTGTACCATTTATTTTTGGTTTTAATAAATGGAGTGCTCAAGTCCTAGTTCTCACACAATAAATGGTTTTCTCAAAAAGAGAACGAACTAGTGTAAACTGTGGACATCATTTCACAATACAAAGTTGGGTGAATTCATTTCACGGTGCAAACAGGACTGAACTCACCATTCAATAGGGGCCCCAAATAGATTACTACTCATCAGGAAATTAGAGATCACCTATATCAAATCTATAATAGCATTCTATCCATAAAGATACTTGGATCTGGATGGATCACTACAAATTTTTTATTCACCAATATCTAAATGACACCCATTGATTAGCAAATTTCAAGGTGTTCTTTCTATATCAYAATGTAGTTCGGCAGATAACTTGCACAGAAAAAGTTCATATTTCAATGATGGAAAAAGATTAACTTGAGGAAAAAATGTATTAACTGGGCAATCAATATTAAACATAAAAAGGAGACAAATTGTTATTACCTATGTCATCATGTTCTGGGGAGTCGAGCAGAATATCTGAATCAGATGGCAGGAAGGGAGAACCAGGATAGTTACCAAGAGCTCCGAGATCTGTAAACAGTTAAAAAAACATAACATATTTAGAAAATTAAGCAAGATTGAGCATAAGACACTTTTCAGAAGCACAATAAGTCAACATCTCTCTGACCCTGATTCCTAGCCTCTCTTTTCTGACCCTGCCCCACCTCTTTCACAAGGCAGACCAAGTTTGGTTTAAAAAACAATCAGTAGGGTTGGTTCAGGATAAATCCAATCCTTACTGAACTCAACCTATTGTCATCTCTATTTTTTAGTGTTAGAGGGATAAAAACTGAACATACAAAGTTTTAAATCGACCAATTAAGATCAGGGGCAAGATTACCTCCTAAGTTGGACAAATCAGCTGTAAGATCTGAGAGGCTGAAATTCCAGGGAATCTGAGCCAATGATCCAAGGGGGTCTCTAGAATTTACAGAGCTACTATCTGCTCCTAGTTGCATCCCCATCGAAGTTGCAACATCAGATGTAAATTCTGTGTCCAGTGCTGCTGTGTCTACTATTCCTGATATATCTGAGGGGGTAAAGGGGAAGTGGCCACTAGTTGCTGATGCAGGACTCGAAGCCATCTCCGACATGGATGACATGACACTGCTTGGGGGCATAAGTGGTCCCACATTAGCCGTGTTGTTGTCCATCATGGTACTTCAATAAAGAGAAACAACTGATGTTAGCAAAGCTTATGAATAGACATATATACACACAAAAATAAAGAAATCAGTTCAAAAGAAAAACTCAAAAAATGTTTAAAATTGGTATCAAATATTATCAGGCACCTCACGCCATATTGTTGAGACACTTGAAAGTTATAAAAGAGGGCAATTCCTTGTGAGAGCTTTAGTGTGCACTTAAATCACCAATTTATGAATAACACATAGGATAAAGTGATAAACCATCACATGTGATGATAAAAAAAGTATAGAAGTCCTTTTTCTTAATACAAAAACAGTTAGATCAATCTGGGGGCATTTCTTCAAGAAATAAGAGGTGTTGGGCTATGCCTAAGTCTGTGAAGGAGCTGTTTATGAGTTGAGATTGGAGGGTCTTAGCAAGAAAGGCAGATTTGTTTGGAATACTATTCCGCAGGCTGTTCTTTGGTCCATTTGGATGGAAAGAAACAATAGAATTTTCTGTAATCAATCAAAAAGTCCAGATGAGATTGTGCAGAAAGTGGTGGGGAAGATTTGCTCCTGGGTGTTGGTGAATGAGGAGTTTAAAAGTCAGAATGTTTCTCTCCTACTTTGTACTAAATCATGGATGTTCTTGTAATCTGTTTTGGGCCCAGGAAGATCTAGTTGGCCTGAGTCTTATTGTAATTTGCTTTCTCTCTGAATAAAACTACTTTACCTTTCTCCAAAAAAAAAAAAGAAAAAAACAGTTAGATCAACAGATAAGTAAATTGCTTAGACCTGTTTGTAGTTTGTAGTAAGCTTATTTGCACTTTTATCGATCAATAAGAATATTCCTGAAAAGGGTTGAGCCAACAGCTAACATGAAAACAAAAGACCCATCCAGATCATTTTAGCACCCTACTGAACTGATTTTTTCCCCACTCCAATAGGGGGTGAAGTGAGTTGGCTCCACTACTCTAATAAAGCAAGCCTTATCCTGATATGGTTCTTCCAGCAAAAGATCAGGCTAAGAGATGAATGAATACTTTATATAATCAGCATTTAACAAGAGCACTTGATAAATGAGAATGAAAACTAAATCGATCATAATGAATGCAAACAATATGTTTGAAAAGAAATGCCACTAAAAGGTGGGTGATTAAAAGTCGTTTGATCTACTCAGCTATATGAGGAAAGGTCCTCACTCATTCCCAGAATTCATCCGAATGGGCTGGAAATTGCCTGGTGCTGGGACTCCATTTACCACATGACAGCTGGATATGCCACAGCCAATGGAATCATTATGGGGCTGACCTGGAGGTGAAATTTGAGGCTGCTGCAGGATGGGATAGCCCATAGGTAAATTGTTAACTGCACTGCAAACAAGTTGGCATTGAATAAGAATGGTAAAAGAGATTTAAATTCTAAGATACTAGAAAATTGAAATTAATACTTAAATAGAAACTTGAACTACCTAAAATAACTGCAATGACTTTTCAATGATCACAAAATGAAGATTCTTTCCATTTCTTTGCACCAATAAGCATTGATTGAAATCACAACTAAGGTTACTAAACATGAACCAAACTATCTTAACATGAGCACAAACATGAGAACTTTAAACAAAGACCCAAAAGTATGCACATAATTCTTCATGACATTGTCAAAAGAAACAGGAACCAAATTGATGCCAGAGTGATTAAAACCCTAATGAAAAAGGGAATCATTAAATGGGAATTTCATTTGGTAAAGTTTGGGCAGTAAATGCATGTAAATCCTGGTGAAAACAATATTTGAGACTTGCCAATATGCAGTTTTAAGTATAATTTTGTGAAGCACAACCATGTAACGCTAACCTGATTACTTTCATGCTTATAGCAAATAGTTTAGAAATTAAGACTTTCTTATCTTTGAAATATAAGGAATACTTCAGAGCTTTCACTTATTTAGCAGACCATGGTGGAAACTTTGACGTGAGAACTTACCAGGCATTGGGTGGATTCCATTTTGAAGTGGAGCAAGTGGGAGATTTGGGGGTACAGGGTACTTTATCAGGCTACACTGATGGTCAAGTAAACGATTGAATAAAATGATCTGTTTTTTCAGCTTTAGCCTTACATGATATGCCTTGAAAAAGTCAGCATTTTCTTCTTCCAGTTTCTGCCACACTGAAATAACAAAAAAGAAAATAAAAAGAAATATATTAGACGATTCTGCACTTAGAAAGGTCAGCTGAAGAAGACGATCTTTAGATTCTGGTTTTGGTTATATGGTTTGAAGAGTGTGCCTATCCCTGCTTTTTTCTATGTGAACATGGTGCTGACAGGCATGGCACGAGAGAACCACAACAGAATGTAATAGTTAAAAAACCAAAAGTTGAGTTAAACCTAAGAATGTATCAGTATTATAAACATGCAGTGATCAGCTTTATTCAAATCTGATCATATTTGCTCTCAGCATTAAATTATATGTTGAGTGACATTTTATCAGCTGCATATAAACAATGACAATTCTACAGCCCACAACCTCTAGCATGGAAATCACTTATATTAAGTGCAGGCAAACTGTTGCACATGATAATATCACCTAGGCGGGCATTGCATGTCAGCCACCATACACAGAAGTGGCCATTAGGCACTCACCCATACTAATCTCATGCATAGCACATGATGCATCAAGTGTTTAATGTGATACAAATATATAATATGTATTATTTTAAAAAAAATATTTTGCATGACATATGTAGTCAAATAACTAATAGATGGGCAAAACTATTTCAGCAGTCCATGCCTGAACGCAAGAGACGTGGCAAGGGAAGAGGTAAGAGAGATGGGAGGTCAAGAAAGAAAGACTTCAGAGCTGGAATGACTTTAGCATTTCTATATGCAATATCTAGTGTGCAAGTTGGTTTTATCCTTTTTCTTTTAATAAACGGATTCTACCCTTTATCAAGGATTAAATGATGATGATGATGATGATAATGATGGTTCTACCATTTTTATTGATAACAAAAACTTAACTAGTAGAAAACAATGGGATAAGTTACATATGGTATTGAACATCAAACAGCTCCCACTAAGCAATCAACTGCTTACAGACATTAATACTGTACAGAATAATTCACTCTAGAATATTGACTCAAGTATAGCTAATTCAAAAGGACCATCCTGACAGGAGACCCTCTGCCAATGAATTGATGGACCTTGCAAGTTGCAATCAATCTGAACGAAACATTCCATCCAGAAACCAAGATTCACATCTCTCTAGATGAAGTTTCTCAGACCATGGTCCATCCACACAATCTGACATATTTAATAACCATTTAGAAGTCGTCTGCTAAAACTGGAGTGAAAGCACCAGTCTGAGATACTGCAAATGTTATGGTTTCCTCCAATAGTTGCGATTGCTCATTATCCCCAAGTGTACCATGATACTTTTTTATTAGTAGTTGACCATGATGTCAATCTCCTGTAAAACACCCAACAAAGCTGAACTTCACCACTCCCTGTATTGTGCTTCATGTAATGATTGTCTCAACTTACATTTCTCCCAGCCACCCCACAAAGTGAAGTGCAGCTTTTGAGAAAAGAATTAGAAAACTTGACATATAAGAATATGTAAATCTGGATTCTTAATCAAATCAAAAGCACTATAACCTCCATATGACAATCTATAACCATACATCATTAAAAAATCGCTAATTAAAAATCTAGAAAAAGTCCACAACAGTTAATACAACATAACTAAAAACAAGCAACAATAAAAAGCTTTTTAGAAGTTAGTAGACCAATGTTTAGGCATGTCTTTGCTTTTCTACAATAAAAGTTGGAAAACCACTACTACTGTATAAAACACATAACAATATATACAGGTGACTAAAAAAATAAAAGTAGAAAAAAGAAACACACTCAGATCACACTTGCACATGAGCCCAGGCATGTGCCTAGGCACACCAAGTGAGTGCCTTTTGAAACTGCCATGACTTGGGTTCAAATGAGGCAGTGCATGAGGCTCCCACCAATGTGGGGTCTAGGGAGGGACAGATGTATGCAGCCTTACCCCTGACATATACAGAGAGGCTGTTTCCAAGTAGGAAAATGCACCTCGCCTGTGTGCCTAGCTGTGCCTTTTAAAATACTGATTTCTCCTCTCAAATATGAATAGCACCTTTAACACTCTACATGATCATTCCTCTTCTAGTGGGCAATGAGAAGATCCCTAAATAAGCATTGAATATCAACATGAGGGTTACATTGACATCCAAAGAGGTGCATTAAGCAACAAGTGCAGTGGCATAATGGATGAAGAGGTCCTTGTACATGATACACACTGGGCGGGGGTAGCTACCTAGTCCTCTTCCTAGATTGGAGCATCTCATATGTATTTATTTTCATTTGCATAATTTCATGGAGGAAGATTCTTGTTCTAGTGTCAAATGACCCATAGAAATGGTTTTGGAAGGACAAACTGAGACCATCAAGAATGTTCATGGAGCATGAGAAATCAGTCCTTCCAAATCAAATGCCCAAACCCCCCAGTCATTACTATAGGGTATAAGAAAACATCCCTTGAGAAAATCAATTAGGGATGTAGCCACAATGGCATGAGATCCCATGAAGTACCAGATTGGGTGAAGTCAATACAACACAGGTAGGTTTAGTTATGTTGCACAAGAAAGCATTCCCTCAAAACATATATCTTCCAAGCAATGTGACCGTTCACCAAGATGAAATCATGCTTGATAAATATGAGAAGTGGGAAGAATGGCATGCCACTTCCTGTAGCACCTTGATGATGCTCCAATCCAAAGTCAAGAAAAGCTTTGGTCATGCTACTCATAAAACAAATATCACAGGAAAGCGCACATTCAACAAGGAGTCATACGTTTCTTTTGATAATAGAAGAGTGAGGAATCTACCAGTTTTTTCTTATGTCTACTATATTTCAAATTATTTATGTAATTAAATGTTATCCATTGCCATGATTTTTGCATGTTATTGTGCCAAACACTTGTAGGCACCTGAGAATGTTTTAGAAGCACAAGGTGCAAGAAAAGCACAAGGACTTGTAGCAAGGTACAACATAATGCACAAATTTTTGAAAAAAAAACAAATAAAAGAATACATAAAAATACAAACCTAAATTTTAAAGCAAATTACAATTTTTTTTATCAATAACTGTGAAATGTATTAATTAATATTAAGAAGAATTACAAAGCAAGGGGGCTAAACAATCTTAGCTCCCTATAACAGTCTATGAGCAGCAAATACAATTACAATAAACCCCAAAACAAAGAGTTCCTATTAACCCCTTTGCCTAGCTAAACCATCTGCCAGTGAGTTTGCACTTCTCTTAACCCATTTGTACTGAATTTCAACATCCGTAGTCAGCCACTTAAATTCTCTTTTTTCATTGCTGTACTTCCATATCCTTGAGTTATCCTCTTTTAACCAATTCACCACCACTTCAGAATCTCCTTCAATGATCAGCTTACTAATTTGCAGCTCCTTGGCTCTTCGTACCCCTTCAAGGGCTTCAAGAATCTCAGCCCTCAAGGRGTCTCCTTCCCCAATTGGTCCTGAAAACATAGCTAACAGATTCCCACGTTCATCTCTTATTGCTCCCCATATTCCAGATGGACCTGGATTAGAAATACTGCTGCCATCAAAATTCAGTTTAATAAAGCCATTAGGTGGACTCCAACAAGAAAGTGATGCCTTCTTAGCTGAAGCTAAATCTGCAATTTCCTTCAAGTTTTTTACCAGCTCATCTACTGAGAAATCTGCAAACAAAACCAAAGTTTTCAGCCAATGTATCACCCTAATATGGATTACCTCCAAAATTACTTCTAAGATTCTCTCCTTTTCTGAGAATATCCGTGAGTTCCTCTCCTCCCAAACAGTCCAGCATACTGCAGCCCTCATACATCTCCACATAAGATACATCTCCACATGTGAAAGAACCGGAGGGGGTGAGAGACCAAATTCTACTGTTTGTCTTTGCTGGCTCTAAAAAAACCCCTTCAAGAATGGATAGCAAGGATAAGATACAAACAAACTGTCTCCCTGATTTCCCTTCTAAAGCCCAAGTTCCAGCTGAACCTAGAAGTTGAGTTAAAAGGAACAAGGAGGAAACTGGTTCATTTTTAAGAGTGGAAAGAGTGAAAAGACTCGGAAATTGGTCTTTTAAAAGAGAATGGTTCATTTTTAGGATTATTATGAATTTAGAGTCTATGAATATGTATGGACGTTTTACACAAAGGCAAAGAAACATATTGAGTTTTCTTCAGCTTATGCTAGCTATGGTGAGTGATTCCAGGTATTTTCCCACTTCTTTCTCTCCCTAATTTCTCTCTTCTTCCTTCAAGAAGTCATTACAGCCATAAAACTCTGATTGAGAAGACCACTCAACATTTTCTAAGGACTAGAACTGAGTTGGTCCTACATCAGTTGGTATCAGAGCCAAAGTTATAGGCTGTTATCATCATGGCTACATGTAGTGGCAAACAGTATAGGGTCGGTTGACTAATACACAAAGAGATTCATTGATTTCTACCCTTTGCAAGAGAGTTGAAACCCTTGAAGCACAAGTAAAAGAACTTCAAGAAGATAAAAAAGAAGAAATCCAGCAAGAAGCACATCTAATCAATGAAAGGGATGGAGGACGAAACAACAGAGCTGTCCATGAAGATGATAATGGTGAAGATGAAGGATCTGTTAATCTTAGAGGACAACAAAGAGTTGCAAACTGCACAAGGGTACCACCTACACAAGCTAATCGAACCCGAAATGCCCATCTAGGGATTGATCAAGAAACATCGCTCACAAATCTATTTGATGAGATGATGGAACAAGATGAACATGGTGGTTATGTAGATGATATAACCAAGAAGGTAAAGGTGGATGTTTCTGATTTCAATGGAGATTTAGACCCTCAATCCTTTTCAGATTGATTGGCTGCACTAGAGGAATATTTTGACTGGTATGACATGACTAAAGATCAAAGGATCAGATTTGCACGTATGAAGCATGGTGGTCATGTTAAAGTATGGTGGAGAAGCATGGAGCGACGATTGGAGAATAGAGGTGATGGTCCTATTTCTACATGGTCAGAAATGAAGAAACATTTGAGAGACAAGTACCTCCCAATATACTTCCAAGATGAGTTATATGAAGAATTGACTAACCTCAAGCAAGGTACACTATCTGTAGTTGAATACATGTGTAAATTTGATGAATTATCTATTAGATGTGAGACTACTGAAAGTGTGAGACAAAAGTTGGCTCAACACAAGAATGGACTACGGGCTGAAATCAAGAAAGAGATGGTACACTCGAGACTTTGACTTAGAGGATGCCTACCAAATTGCTGTCAAAATTGAGAAGAGTTTAAAGCAAACAAATACAAGGCAATTTATATCACAAGCCGGGGAGTATGCAGCTTGTAAGCAAGCTGGTGGGGGAAAAACTTCTAGGCCAGCATATTCCAATGCCAGCTCTAATAAGCCTAGTGGGTCTAGACCTTATCAAGGGGCTGACTATAAGAGTAAATCAGTTGCTAGTGGYGTTACTTAGAAAAAAACAGCCTGATACTAGCTGTTTTAGATGTGGAGGAAAGGGCCATATGGCTTACCAATGTCCTACCAAAAGCCTTAATATCATTTATGAAGATGGCATTGAAGCGGTAGGTGACCCAGGTGATGACTTAGCTGAAGAAGAGGATTATTCCTTCATTGATGATGATGCTTTAGATGAAGACAGCAACTATGTTGGTGTAGAATTTGAAATTCAGCTAACCTAATTAACCAAACTTTCTATTATTATATGCAATATATAATATATAATATGTAAGATATAGTATATAATATGTAACATATAATATATAATATATTATATATTTATACATTAATATATAATATAATAAAATTTGATTTCATAATATATATTTTATAATGTATAATATATACAATAAAGTATATATTATTAAAATTCAGTTTTAACCGAAATAACCGAAAACCGAACTGAATTTTGGGTTTTCTATAATTCAGTTTTGATTTGGTTTTAATTTTTTTAGTTCGGTTTATTCGGTTTGGTTTTTAACCAAATAAACCGAATGCTCACCCCTAAGACTTATTCTAGAAAGAAGAAGGCCTTACAACAGGTCCTGATATGGCATAGTGATGGTACTTGGGATTTGGACTGAATTGAACACCAAGGGTAATTTTTGTCATTTTATAATTTTTTCTGTAGGGCCCAATAATAGGATTTGATTGTCTAGTTATAGTTTGTTTATGTTTAAAATTTCAAAGTCATTGCATAATTAGGATTAGAGTTATTGAGTCTTCTTTGAATTGGAGAAACATGCCAGTTAGTTTTCAGTGGGTTAGCAGGTCAGCAAATGTTTTGGTTGATTTTCATGCTAAACAAGGGGTTTCAAGGGTTTCTTTCTATTGGGCTACTTTGCAAACTGATTTCTATTTAGCGTGAGTTTTTTGCTTTCATCCTTAAAGAGGAAGTCGCATCTCATGCCTCTTCTTAGGCTGTTTGTATGCTCACTTTTTATCTATTAATGATAATTTCTTTCATTTATATAAAAAAGGCTTTAAGAAGTCAACTATGGGGGGTTAAGATTTAGATTTTGAACTTAAGAAAGCACTGTGGCTAAATTTTGAACTATTAAGGTCTAATTTATCTCAGACTGGATAGCATAAAGTTCAAGATAAAAATAATTGGCTGATATTCTGGTTCTAGAAGGGAGTTATTGATTGGATGCTGCTTCTTAAATCCAACCAAAACTTTTGACTTGGTGCTGATGAGTTCTGAATCTATGTTTCATTCAATCTTTTGAATGCCTATACTGATATTATGATTCTAGAAAGGAGTTATTCTTTCTAGAATAGGAATTCTAGCTAGGCAAGGGGTGAATAGGAATTCTATTTTCTGAGCTCAGATGTAATTGTTCTTTTTCTTTTTGGGTGTCTTTCGACATACTTGGGAAGTTAAGATATTTTAGCTCCCCTCTGTAAGCTTATTCTTCTTTAATGAAACTTACTGTTATTGATAAAAAAAAAGAGTTATTCCTTGCTTGGATGCTGCTTCTTAAATTCAACCAAAGCTTTTGAATTGGTGGTGATTCCTCTAAATAGTTCAACAAAGGTGATGAGTTCTGAATCTAAGTTCCATTCAATCTTTTGAATACCTATTTTGATATAACAAAGCTTAACCTTGGATCCACACAAAGTAAAACAAACAAGCAACATAACTTAATCAACAAAAGGTCTATGACCCCTTCCAGGTTCAGAAATGTGTATAATTATTTATTTGTGTGCATGGAGTCTTTTTGTTTAGGGGTCAGGAGTCAAGGCTCTAATTGCCCCCTATAAAGGTTTAACACTTAATACACCCGATACGCCGGTAGAGGCTTATTCGGTAGCTGTTTCTTTTTTTCAGTTTTTTTTTTTTTTCAAATCTGGTTCAGAGGGGTTGGTTTAAGGTCCATCCACCCCCTGAACCGGCTTAGACCCCTGAAACACCCCCTGTAGGGGCGTATCGGGAAGCTCCCGATACGATATGCATCGGTCGATACTTGATATGGCCCAATACGTATTGATACTTTGAACCTTGATCTCAATTAATAAGAATTATGGTGGCTGTGCCTCCATGAGGAATAACTTTGTGATATAAAAACAAACCAAGAACTAAATTCCATACTACCATAGCTGGTAGCCAAATCCATTGCAACTTAAGTGGACTTACCCAAAGTCGTAAACCCAGGCTCTATTCTTGCTCGATTTAAGAGGGTTTTTACAACTTCATCTTTATTCATATACAACTGTAAGCAACGTTCAATCAAATTCTGGACCTGCAGATATCACACAATATTGTAGAGATTAAAACTAAGAACCTAGATTATGAAAGGAGTTATCCACTTGAAAACCTTTTTGGAAATAAAAAACCTTGCCAAGTAATCACGATTTGTCTTACCAGTTCAATATCTTCACGAGAAACCTTCTTACTATCAGTGCTTGAAATGGGTATTGAACCTGAATCTGCTACAGGAGCCTCAGCAGTCGTGTTATTTGGTTGGTCAATTTCAGATTCATGTGACACCTGAGCTGAGGGTTGTATTTCTTGTGTGCCTTGTGAATCCTGAAGGAGTTCTCTTAAACTTAGTTATATACAACCAATTAGTGAAGAAAGAAAATTTAGAAAATAACTCTATAAGAGGAGGCAAATTTAGATAAGTGGTGGCTATGAATTTTAACTCTGCCAGTGTGAGCTTGTCTTACACTTCAGGTCTCAAACCCAGATAGATGGTTGTGTCAGTTGGCAGTTGGCATTTAAAACTTTTACAAAACTTTTATGGTCAAGGAGAGCCTACCCCATATAGTTTGAATAAGGTTTAGATGATGATGYGGTGGTGGCTACGAATGTTTAAGGACAAGATTAGATGCATTGATGGCCCTATGTCAACTGAGTTCCGATTGGTCACACAATTTGGTCAAGACTTGCTGAATTAATTCTAATTTTTCATAACCCTAAATATAAATTAATCTGCAAGTAAGTAGCAACTACAGTTGGAAAGTATTGGATTCTCAATATCAATGCCCAAATGAATGAACATGACCAGTCAGTACCTGGTTTATTCAAGTCTAATATGATCTATTAAAGCTGACTTATTCATGGCAATGGACACACACAAGGATAGAAATGTTGAAGATTGATCAATGTAAAGAAGAGTAGTAAAAAAATATGATATCAGTACCTCTACAGCCTTCATTTCAGAGTTCAGATAACTGAATGTTTGAACATGTTATCTCTTCTCAGTTTGTAAATCAATCAAGATTTACAATTCTCATATGTTTGTAGCAGTTTTCACCTGGAAAGATAAAAAAAAAAAAAATAGGGATTCACATGGAACATGGAAGGAGGATTACTTCATAAATTCAACTAGTAATGTAGAAGCTCCCAGTGATGTGATCATAAATTCTCATATGTATGTATGTATGTATGTAAATAAAGACTTTATCTATCTTGTGAAATTCATTTATCTCGTGTCATGTTTTCCATTTGCTGATTGATCGGATTCCACCACATAAGGAAAACAGTGAAAATTTTATGTTTTAGCTACTAGCTGGAAACTGCAAGGTGCCAACCGATCGAATCCTGCCTGCACCTGGGTTGGGGGGTTTATGGGTCTACCTTCTAACCCAACCATAGTTGTCAAGGCAACGCTTAGGCAACAAGCGCTCATGGAGCATCATCTCACTTAATCACCAAGCTAATTTCTACATGGCACTATGAATTTTATATTCTTAATATTTCGAAAATATAACAATAAAATAGACATTACTAAACTAAAATATTCATTTTGTGAGTTTATATACTAATTTCTTTTCATTATTTTCTTATTTGTTAGGGTTCAATCAACACATGTTGGTATATGTTGTCTTGAACCCTCAAAGATATACAAACCTGAACCAATAAGCTAGGAAGAACTTAAAATTTTCTCATGAATATGTTGGTTTTCTACATTTGAATATGAGTTTTATATTTTTTTTATGAAAATTGTAGATAATTATTAATGAATGATGGTTACTAGTTGCTATGAAACTTAGGGAACTACCCTAGACACCACAGGGTTGGCCCCTGTCACACCTAGAATTGCCTTGGCGCCTTGAAAACATTGTTTGGAAATTGAGCTACTGCTCTCAACATCCACCACTGGGACAAGTAAACCTCTTACTTGGGAGTTGTTTTATTTGATGAAAAAAAAACTAGGTTTCAATGGCCAACATTATTTGGAAATTGACCCACTGTTCTCGACATCACTTGGGAAAATGCTCAAATAGGACTAATATTAACCATAGTTCCACCGTTCCACAGGCGCCAACGCGAAGTAGGGAACGCCTATCGCTTGACTCTTTAATATTAGGCCAACTCTTTAACTTTCATAAGAGCCAAAAATCATATGCACTTCAAATTTGCAATAATCTTCATCAACTACTAATTTTATATTAAAACATAGAAAATCATGGTATTCATAAGAAATTGATACCGATTACTAATTTACATTATTTAATTACTTTGTTTGCAGGAAATTTGCAGCCCTTTCAAAACGGGTAAAACGGTTGAGACATGACAGAGATAGAGACAGACAGAAAAAAAATATAGACAGAGAATGAGAGAGTAACCCTCTTCAGCTTCCAAATGGTTGAAATTAAAGAATGAAGAGACCTTTTTAAAAGGAATACAGTCAGAAAATAGAAGAAGAACTAGAAGAATGGAGAAGAAGAAGAAGAAGAAGCGGCGTAATCTGCTTCGACGTCGATGAAGAAGAAAGGGGTGGGAGACGAATCCCTTGTTCCAACGTCCGATAAGAAGAAGAAAGAAAAATCATACCTGACATCGCCCTGTCGCGCGTCAGATTTCAAAGTTATCGAACCCTAAAAATTAGCAAGAGAAAAATTATAAAAAAAAAAAGACAATAGCGAGAGAAAAGAACAAGTCCGACTCTCATACCGGAAAAACCTGCAACCAATGAACCGGTATCATAAAAGTGATAACCAATGAAGTGTGGAATTAAATAAATGTTATTTATGGGTAGGGTTTGATTGGTCAAACCTATCGATTTCGGATCTCCTGTCAACAAAATTCGAGTTTGGATTGGCTCGCAMAGAAGGCATCCCATTAACACCCACAGTACATCTCAACCGTAGATTGATAACATCCCTCGTACTTGTCACGAGGAGATATTAATAGTGCATGGTAGGATGTGCTCTGGGCGCGCTGAATGAGGGGATTCAATACGAATTCACAAAATTTGTTCCAACATGACGATACCATCCTATTTATGGTGGATCCCATTTTCATGATGAGATGTATAGTATTTTGGTGGAAGAGTATTGGAACGTGTTGTGCTGGTAGAGCACTTCATTAAATTCTATATTGTGGGGCATTCTTATTTTTTATTAATATATAAATTTTATTAATTGAATATATCTAATAATTTTAATAATATGAAAATTTGGGGTCAAATGGCTAATTAATTCATGATGTCATAATTAAGAGGTCGTAAGTAATTCAAACATTTGGGGTCAAATGGCTAATTAATTCATGATGTCATAATTAAGTAATAAAAATTTAAAATAAAAAAAATTGAATACATCTCTAGTTTTATATATTCATCATTTTAAACAAAATGTACATTATAAATAATAAATATTTTTATTAATGATGAAAATTAAATATAAAACTAAAAATTAATCCACAAACAAAATTATTTTTCCATTTGGATGAAGTTTAGGGTCAATATTTTAATGTTTTAGGTCAAATAGGTCAATCCATAATGTTATGATTAAATATTATGAATTTTAAGAAAAAAATACAAAAAATTATTAAAAATTGCAGAAAGTTTTTAGAGCCAGTTGATTATCAAGTACAAAAAGAGAGATAGAAGGAATTTGCTTAAAAAGATGAATAAAGATAAGATGGGAGAAGAATTAAAGTTGGGCGTGAAACTTTCTATCTCAGATATAGGCTATAGATTATTGCATAGGTTATGGATTGTTAATATATATATATATATATATATATATTCTTTTTTGACAAAATGTTATAGATTGTCATATAGGTTATAGATGCGTGGCAATAAGAGAGATAAAAGGGATGGTGCATAAGTTATTAAAATCCATAAGGATAAGATGGGAAATTAAATAAATATAAAGGGTATTTTTAAGCATATGAAGTTACAACATCATCTCTCCTTAAACCTCTCTCCAATATCACTTACCCCTTCTCAGCTCTCTTTCCTCCCTTGCCCCACCTAGGCCTCCCATCTTGCCATTTTAGCATCCCTCTAGGTCCTTGACAGCCCCGACGTACACGTTTCTAAGAAAGAGCCCCACCCATTCAGGAACGTGATTAATGGAAAAACTCGCAAAAAAAAATCGGCCAATATAAATTACTCTTACTTGGTTTCTATTTTCCTATGGAATTACATACCAAACAATGCACTTCTCATATTAAGCCTACACTAGGAGCATGACAGCAGGTACATTCAAGTTTTCTTCTTCTTTTGTACATCAAAGCAAGGGTGGCTTCACCCTTCTTTGGATGTCAGAACAAGGATTTCACCCTAATGAAGGGTGATTTGGTCTTCCAATGATATCACAACATGTGGCATCATAGAATATTAGAATAACACCTCAGCACCACGTAAGCATATCTCAGGAGCACTTAGGACACCTCGCAAACCGCCTTGATGACCTCGATACCACTTTGGTAGGCCGAACTGCGAACAGCCCGACAAGACATCAGATCAGCATAAGAGGCAACCTACTTCCACCGATCTGACCCGACTTCGGTTAGCGATGCCTGACGTGTTGGGCGACCTCCTCCTTAAGCAGACTATCGACTTCAACTTCCCCGGTGTAATCACCATGGTAAGGCGAGAGTTTGGTCAGTCTTTGAAGGTCCGGAGATGGCGGTGGGAAAGAGAGAGGGTGTGGGGAAGAGAGGAGAAGAAAGGAGAGAAGAGAGAGTGAGAGAAACTCTTGAGAAACCCTAGATCAGAGTTATATTGTATTGTCTCTTGGGGAAGAATTGCTCTCTCCCTTTTATAGAGAGGAAGTTAAGGAAGAAGTTCTTTCCTGTTAGGAAAAGAGAATCTTTTCTATTAGGAAAGAAGATATTTCCTTTAGTTTGACTATTAAGGGATCATTATTAGAGAATCCTATTCCTTCCGGATTCTCTCCGTATGTGACCCTTTTATACTGACGTGGCATGGGTGACATCATCGTTTGGCGGGTGTTCTTTTATGGAGCTCCGCATGCATAATTTAAAGACACACGTGTAATTGGAATTTATTCCTGACCTACCGTGATTCCGCAGTTCTGTGATGATGTTGGGTTTATTGCAGCTTCGTGCGTGTTCATCGGAAATATGTGTGGCTGGGGTTTATCACAAACCCGCCCGTGTCTTATCTTTATCGCAGATTCGCGCTAACCGAAATTCATCGCAACCTATCCCGGGTATGAGTTCATCGCAATTGCGGATCTGTGATGAACTCATCGCAAATGTGCGATGGGTTCTGGATTCATCGCAAGCGTCCGTATAGTGTTGGTTTACCTTTTGTACTCTGAGGGTCTTAGTGACCACTATATACCTACATTAGCCCCCTACTTATTGGTAAGTGAGAGCTTATTGATAAGTACTTGCCTTTGTATTTGTTTTTAGATGTTGGGGTGAGTTGGTTTGCATGCATTGACTCTAGGAATTTGCCCTACTTTTGTGATTTTGTGTAAGTGGGATGCGTCTTGTGTCTGCAATGGGGACTCCCTACATTCCATGGTTTAGCCCCCTCATCTTTTGGTGATTTCATTCTTGTCAATGGTCAATGCTACACCTTATTTGTGTGTTTTAGCCCCCTAACYGTTGATAGGAAGGAAATTAGCAAAAGACACTAGGAATTACTGTGTGTGATGCTTTTTTCTAGCAACGGGCAAGCTAGTGCTGAGTTTCCGTATTTCAGTCCACCATGGTCATTGACATGGAAGGGGGATAACGAGAGAGCGTATGGGATTGCAATATGTATTGCCTTTTTTTTGGCAATAACCGGGTTCGTGTGGTGTTTTTTAGCTTTTAGCCCCCTGACCATTGGTAGGAAGGCAAGGAGTGGCTAGAGGTGATCCCGTTACTACTTTGGTGGACGCAGCCCCCCTGTATCTTGATAGAATGTCTTTTATGTATCTTGATAGAATGTTTTCTATAAAGAAACACTCAGGTAAGGTTTTGCTGGGTGTGTTACCTTTTCTGTCCTCTTGGGTGAGTGGGAGGGTGTTGTATGGGTGTCTCGTGGACAGGATACCCAACCTCCTTTTGCTTTAATAGAAGGCGTCGCTAGTATCGCATCGGGTATCTAAAATATGGGGCGAAGGAAAGCCCCCCATTTATTGTGCGAGATTTTGGACCATGTGCATAGGGAAGTGTATTTGATCCTTTTTGTAGAAGGATGTGAATTCTGTCAAAAATATGTACCATTGCATCATAAATGTGCCAATTTCTAAGTGCTTTTGCGCTAGTGCTTTTATTGTGGTGTTAGTGGGCTATTGGCCTTAGCGTATTATGTTYGGGTTTTGATGCATAGTGAATTTAAATGTAGAGGAAATTTTTCTCATTGTATTAGAACTTCCAAATGAAAGAACCTTCGCAACGACTTCCGAGAGAATTTTGTCATTCGTTTAGAATTTTCGATCTTGTAATAAAACTTTATCGCATATTAATTTGTAAGAAAGAGTCTAAATCAAGGTTATAGGTAGTATGGTTTAGAAAGTCACGTGGTCTGTGAATTTTTGTCGCAACTTGTATTAGCGCAAATGTCGAATGGTAATCAAATCATTTAAGGTGGGTCGTTTTGTGCACTCCGTCACAAATAAGCATGCTTCATAAGTATTATAGGAGTTAATCATAATCGAACACCATTGCGAGTGTAATCAACCATTAATTGCGAACTACTATAAAAGGAAATCGTGCGTGCTCCTTAGTTTGGAGGCTCAACGCAAGTGTTAAACATTGTTGAGAAGAAAGAAAGTTGCAAGTGTCCACTGACATTGGAAGGGACCACACAGGAGTTTGTAGGTAACATTGGAAATAATAGGATTCAAGTATTTCAAGGTCGAGTGCCCGTTGGATTCTATTGTAACAAGTATCGGCACATGCATAGTTAACTTTATCGCATATCAAACAATGTTATTCAACATATGCAATACTATCAGGTGCGATAACGTTATGTAAAATGAGTACATGATAAATGTGTTCATAGAGAAGAGTTGTCCCGATATCTAAACATTATCAAATGCAAAAGACCAACATATGGCAGGAATGAGTTGTGGGGTGAGCATTAAGATTCGTATTTATAAAGAAGGGAAGTTAAGCTACATTGCAGTTTTTGCCACCGATACAAGGATCGAGGGTTGTCGTGTCTTAGGAAGACAAGGCCCTTCATGGGTGTTACAATTGGGGTTCGGTCATAGTATAAATAATTAGCATAAGTTAGAGTTTCATCGCAACCATGTTTGGAAAATGAAGTGTTGTTTTWAAGCGAAGTGTTATTGTCAATGCAGGACGGGTGAAGTTTGTCTTCCCCTAGTTTGTCGCAGTTAGACGGTGTATCTGTGTTTATAAATTGGATAGGAGTCATACCTGTTGTCGATGAAGCCCACCAGCGGTTACATGGAGGTGTGGCTGCGCCTGGGGCCGCTAGGGCTTTGGTTGTGCCTAGGATTTCTAGGGCTTTGGTCATGCCTGGGTTTGACAAGGCTTTGTTTGTGCCTGCGGTTGCCAGGGCTTTTGTCTGTGCCTGGGCTTGCTAGGGCTTAGTTTGTGCTTGGTGTTCCTAGGGCTTTTGTCTGTGCTTGGGGAAGGGCTTTATTTGTGCTTGGGGTTGCCAGGGCTTTATTTGTGCCTAGGGTTGCTAGGGCTTAGTAAAGTGTTTGGGGTTGCCGGGGCCTTCGCATGGAGCATTCGGTATAGAGTGCCCGAGGTTGCTAGGGCTTTGAGCTGCGCCTGGGGTTGCC